ATGTATGGCATGTACCCTGTTTCTTTTATTGTAATTTCTATTGTTTGTCCTGTACTACACATTTTATATTACATAGCCTTAAGCATGTCTCCTTTCCATATAGAATGTTTAGAGGACTATTACCATAGGGTTGTTTGATTTGACATCATAATTGAACACCCTAGAAAACTTAAACTCGTCACGACAAGGAGCTTGGAGTTAGCGCGGTGGGCAACATGACCATTTTCAACAGCAGAACATGTCTTCCCCAGCTAAATCATTCCTTTCCTAGAATTTAAAATAACAATCCATATGATTTCGAGGTTGTTCGCCCCGCGTAACATAAATCCTGAACTTTTTCGTTAGGTATTCGTATGGCTCTGTTGTACGATCTAAGCCCTAACTCGTTTTAGGATTCCGAGGTTGTCGTCCTTTACGACCTAAATCCTCACATCTTCCAGACTATTTGTGTGAGTGTTTCACACGAATGTAAACTCTAATTAAATAAAATTGGCAGGATAAAACACTTGAATATTCCTCCTCGAAACTGAAGCCAAACCATAGGGTAGATTGGGAAGCCACCGTGGATCTCCTCTGGATCTGTGGCATCCCCTAATTCTTTTTCATTTGGATCCTTTAATAAATGTCCCAAGTTTGAACCATTCACTTTTGCACACATCTTTGTCAAATTTCGTTGAAAAGTCCTATCCTTTTGAAGTCCTTGAACATAATTTTTCCTGATTTTTATCGAGAGTATTCTTAAGTGATTTCGGTCATTTAAGATGTAATTAAATATAAGGGCTTGCCCTTATAGTGAGTTTTTCTGAACCCAGCTTAAAATAAACCTTATTTAATTTTTCATATTAAATAGAGGAATTTGTCGGCAAATAAAACGGTTTCGCAGACCAAACGAACGTCATATATATCTTAGTTTATCTGATCGAGTCTCATCCTCAAGTCTTGTGTTGATCCCTCGAGATAGATACAGGATTTGAGGTAAAACTGACCACTCCACACATTTTATGAAAAGAAGTTAGCCGACAAAAAAGGCAAAATCTGTAAAAGGGCTAACCCACTTGCAAATAAGTCATATAGGGACTTGGATTCACGATCCTTAATGCTCGATACACTTCAAATGGATCTGCAAAAGTATGTCTTTGAAATCGCTGGCTTAAGACTAGGCCCATAAACTAATGTGCTTTATTTGCAGAGTAAAGCATTAATAATGCATTAATACAAGCTACTCGACTTCAATCCACCATCATCTTGCAGCATAGGCATATAAATCATTCAAAGCCAAGAGAGCTATTTGAGACTATTTTCACCCTTTTCACTTGGAAAATACAAAAGAAATCAAAACAGATTACAACTTTTGTACAAATATACAACAAAACTGAAAAGAAGAAAATACGAGATTGGCGGCTCAGATTAACCATAGTTCCCATCCAAACACAGATACATGCACATATTCTCCGCCGAAGATACGTTGATGCAGTATTTACCGATACTCATAAATCATCCCACCTGCACCATGACCATTGCTAGAGAAAAGCAGTAGTGATCACTGAAACACAATGCATGGCCATCAACGTACAATTTAATCATTTCTACTTGGAGGGTAAAGCTTTACTCTAAGCTTACGTTTAAACTAATGAGTTTAGGTGTCACACATCAAACTACATAGGAATTGAGTGGAATGTATCCACCACATAACAAAAAGAAGCAGCATTCTTATCGATCCCTAAAATAAAGCTTCAAAAATAACAAAATGCTACGCAGGTCGCTATTGGAGCACCAATCAATCCTTGATACATCACCGCCATTATTAGAGGAGAAAATGAATCAAGCATCCGAAAAATGTCAATTGTTCTTAACAATCATCATCACCACATGATGCTTTGCATAGCAGAGTAAAGCATACTTCCAAGTGCAAATTTAAAGACATTGGCTACACTAAAAGAAAAACAATTGATTTAATAAATAAAATAGTAATGCAACAATACTCAAGGGATACGTTGTTTGCACCGATCAATTTTATTAAGCATTTCTTTTCTGCCTCGTGTAACGTTGCTTGCACGTGTGAAGTCTGGAATGTGATATCTCATATCAGAAAAAGAAGAAAAGTAAGATTTACATACATATATTCAATTCTTATACATTTACATGGGTACCACCTAAACTTTAATTTTTACAAATATGTCATATTACCTATGCAAAAATAGATGTATTTCATGTTTGAAAACTTAAAATAACTAATATCTTAACATGTAAATACATAGGAATTAGGTGGTACGCACGTAATTGCTCCAACAGGAAAATCAAAGTATAAAATAAGGTCTGAATGAATCATGAATACTTAGGGCTGTCAACATACTTTCTCTCAGCTATCCTCCATTCTTTTATATCTAAAATAAAGAATAGATTCAAATTATAATTTAGTTGCAAATATCAGAAATTTTGTAACACTCATATTCAATTCCATACTCAACGGTAAACTCTGATTCAATTTTATTTTATATTCACAAATGTTTTGGCGTAAACCATATTCAGATTCAAATGTAACAAAATTAAATATAAAATCAAATTGCAAATGTAAAACATTTTGCATTTAATCCATCATTTAAATGATATTCAGAATCTTCATTTGAGATGATAAAGGGAAATGAGAGATCGTCAGATTGAAAACGGGATAATCCTTGGAGGAGGCAAAGAATAGAGAATCCAGAAAGAAAAGGAGAAGCACCTTCTCTCCTGCTCTCAGATGGTGGGAACGAAGGCTGGTATAAGCACACTTCTCTCCTGCTCTCCAGCGTCCCGACGAACACTGCTTACAACAGGGACAAACAACGCAGCTCACAATCGGGACAAATGTCGATCATAATGGGAAGTGCATCGCTCAAGCGCAGATCGACACGATACCCTCTCGTTATTGCTCTCGCACGATAGGACCGAATGGATATCCTCAGCCGTTGTGAAGGATCAAGCAGGGAGGGGCTTCGAAAGCAAGGGGCTTCGGCTCGGTATGTTGCGATCCAGGGGTATTATCGAATGTTCCCCATGAACGCGAGAAGCGAAAGCTGGGCCACGGGGTCGATCCTGCGGCCAGCTTTCCGCCCACTTTAGCTTCCTTTGGCCACAAACTTGGGAGCCAAAAGGAAAAGTTTCGTGGTTTGGGGTTGCGTCGCGTGAAAAAAGTAGCCCCAAAGGGAGCCTAAGATGGATTGAAAATTTTTGGCAACGGAGTTTCAGAAGGGAGATAAGACAATGTTTCTTTGAGGTGAACCCTATTTTGTGCAAGACCAAGGGTGTCAGCGGATCTATTAAAGGTGACAGATAAGTTGGTTGGGCCACTAATTATGACCTACAAGGGGTTGAGAAGGTTTAGGGGACTTACATAATACTACCGGAAGTGCGTGAATGGTTATAATTCGATTGTGGCTGCAAACGAAGAAATTGAAGGATAACTGTCAGTGGGTGGATGTGACGACCCAGACTTTTGAAAAGTTAAAGAAGGTCATGACAAGTGTGTCAGAGCTGACGGCGAGAACCAGACTCGAGTCAGTTTATGAGCGAGGGCCACACGACTTGATCCAACAACAAATTTTCTCACATTGAGGATAAGGTGTCTTTTTGGGAGTGAAGTGTTGTTATGTTGGTGCCTAACCTAGGGGCAATTTTGTCTTTATTAGTGTAAGAGCAATTTAGACTTTTATTAATATTTTTTTTGTTAGTATTGTTGAGAATTGTGGAGCCCGGTCCACTTTTCCAATTGGCAATATCGACATCTATGGAATACATTTATATGTATTTATTTATTTCCTTGTTTTGATGCCTTCCCGCCCTCACCTACACAAGAAAAATAATAAATAAAGGTTCACGTGTTCCCGCGTTTTCGCATTTCCGCGTTCCTGAGTCCCCACCTTTCATTCTTTTGGTCTCGCAAATAAGGAATTATGGATTGCCTTAATGGGCCAAAACCTGGATCCCTTGGTCTGTCATCGATTTTGATGGTACCTTACTGAAAGGTCAAAACCGAAAAGCTTCTTCCCATTATTCTGGTGCAATTTTCTTCTTCCACGTGGCTCATGTGTAAAAAAAAATAGAGAGAGAGAGAGAGAAAGGTGAAGAGTGAGAGAGGGAGATATTTTCTTGTAATCGTCGAGGCGATCGACGACGGTGTAATTCCCCGAAGTAATAAAATCCTCTGCAACTCCGTGGACGTAGGCAATCTGCCGAACGACATAAATTTGTGTTCCGTTGTTCTCTATTTCTGTGTGAATTTGTCATTCCAATTTTTCGCTTTATTGTCATCATTTTTCACAAGTATAACTATGGTTAATATGTTTAGGGTTAGGATTATGCATAAGATTGAGTTTTGAGTCTTAGAGTTTGGGAGAGATTTCCTACCTCTTGAATTGTAGGAATTGGGAGAAATCACCTACCTCTCGTCACCTACCTCTCGCTCGAATTGTAGGTGCTTATCTTTGTATTCGTGTTGTTTTGGATTATTAAAAAAATATTTGCTTTGCCCTAAATTTTCTATAAGAAATCATTTTGTTTCCTATCACTCTCCACTCAAAAGAGGTATATAGAACGCCTTTAAAATAATAAGATGGATCAAGAAAAAAATTGCACAACAAAATCCCATCTGAGAAAGATATGAAACTCTTACACTTCTGAAAAGGAATCGTAAGCCTATGAAGCTAAAAAGAAATAATTATATGCTGAAAATACCAAATGGTGTCAGTTCCGCAAGAAATATTTAAGAAAAATATAAGTCTAATAACCTATAAGGCAATTCAAGCATCAATATAACAAGCTTCAGAATTTAATGTCAGTAAAATCTTCAAAAAAAATTTTAGCAATAATTTAAGTGATATTAATAGAAATGTTAAATAACTTGAATTCTCCATACAAAAAGTGCTGCAACAAGACCTCAACTCCAATTTTTTTATTAAATATTTATAATATACAACTAAAGAAATTCAATATGAAAATCTTGAAATAGAGTAAGGATGTACTTGGGTTACGTCATCCATGTGAGATTCTTCCAAGCAAGCTACTTGCTTGCTATTTCTCCAATCCCAGAACAAAATCTGCAAGGAATTAATACAGTAGACGTGCATCACATAATTAATGTTGCACAATGGCATTTATCTTCATCTCATTAAAGCAGAAAAAGAAATGGAATAAATGTGATAATTGGATTCCAAAGCACTATGAAGAACAAAATATGATGAAAAATATGAAGATAAGAATGTAATTTTTTTTTAAGGAATGGGATTGGATAACATTTTTATTAAGTTGGCCCAATACGGTATAGATATAAGTTGGGCACAAAATCAATAATAGATATAGGAGGGGAAACAAGGGCAGATAGAGATATTAAATCTCTGTAGAGACAAAGAAATTCATCATATATGTATCAGCTAAGATTGACGGCCGCAGTCACTAAGTTAGAAGCCAAGAAGTATACCGCATGAGCCAAGGTCTTTTGGTAAGTATGAACCTAAGGATTTAGTTTTGAATATTAACATCTTTTAAATTTACTGCATAAATTAAATCAAAATATGCTTTCACCCATTTCTCTACGAGTGTGAAGCATCAAGCTTTGCATCTATGTATTTTAAGAAAATTAGTAGAATACATCATTGAAAATTGTCTAGACTGATCATTAGTATCAAAAAAAACAAAACGTTGCCGGAGATAATTTTATGCAACAAGCACCAAGAGAAATTGGCATTCGAGAAAACAAAAGTGGGCAATATTTATTGGAATCGCCATAATGATATTATTGTTACTCAACAAAAACTATCAATAAAATAGTCTGTAAAACATATGTGAATGTGCTCCTCCTATCACTATAATCCAAGTAAGGTGAAGTAATACAAACAGCCCCATTTAAAAGAACAAAAAATCATTAAATGTAAAAAGGACAAAATGGTACATAGGAGAAAGGGGGTCCCAGCTTAGCACCAGAGTCAACTTTACATGGCATGTAGGAGAAAGGGGGTCCCAGCTTAGCACCAGAGTCAACTTTACATGGCATGAACCTGTGCTATTTGCCAACAAACAATAGAATCAAGACAGCTAGATAAATCCTTAATTGTGATCAGGGGATAGGTAGAACTTATAGAAAAGATATAGCAAGATTTACATACATACCACTCAATTCTTATGTATTTACATATCTAACACCTAAAACTTCAATCATTACATGCATGCTACCTTTCATGAAAAGGTGTGTTTCACTTTTTAAAAGTTAAAATGGTGGTATTTTTCATGTGATTAAGAGATTTGTGTGGTATAAATGTAAAAAGTAAAGTTTAGGTGTTGGATAAGTAAATACATAGGAATTAGGTGGTATGTATGTAAGTGACCCAATCATATGTTGAGTTCAATGTAATGCTGAAATTAAAATACCTGAGAATTACCTCCACCAGCAAGAAGATTACTGCTTGCTCCGCCAATACAGAAGCTAAATATTTCTTGACAGGAATTTGCTTTTATTAAGGAAACCTGCGCCATTATGCAATAGAGGAATACAATTGAAAGGGTGAAATTCAAATAAAAGTTCGCATACCAGTAAACATTTGGTTGAGTGATATTGACTTCAATTTCTAAAGCAGAAGTTAACATTTAAATTCTTAAAAAAAAGTACAATGATTTCTAATAATACAATTTCATCAATAAAACAAATCCTAAGATAAGAAACATGTGATTAAAAAAAAAACATCAAGCAAAATAAAATAGCATGAAAAACTGTTCATTCTAGATATTGTGGAAAATATTATTTTCATCGTCACTAGCCTCATCCAAACTATTTTGTGCTAGGTTTTACAAGGGGCTAGTTAAACTGATTTTGCACAAATAACATTCCAAAACTTCTATCCTTTATGCATGCTACCTCTGGACTGTTTTTTTCCCCCCTTTTGAATCCTTCCCCACGTTAAGTTTATATGCCCAAATGTCTCGTGATAAGAAGTTTATCCAAAAATAATAAACAAACAAATATTTCACAATCAAATATCACTAGAAAAATAAAATCATACATATATGAAAAAGAAGGATCACTTAATGAATACTCCTTTATATTAGTCAAACTTAAAATAAAGACACTAATGCACATTGTTGAATAATTGATGTGAAGTGATGAGCTGCCTAATTTTTCACTCCTTCATTAAGATAAATGAAGATTAAAAATATAAAAACATGTGTATTTCCGTTGGAGGATAAGTATCTTTCTTCAATCAACATGATAGGGCACTCCTCAAACTTTCATGCAAGCGTTTCTTATTTGAAAAATTCATGTGGGTTAATTTGCCATTGCAAATCACACAGCAATTATATCTGCTGATGATGTGTTCTATGGCTTCAATAAAACAAAATTTTGAATGAATGATACAACATATTTGACATGTCAGGATCTCAAAGCAAAACATTAGTTTATAAAACCTTTATCTCTCCAACACAAACCATAGGGGAGACAGAAATTTAGAGTTCATTTCTGTCCACTCTAGACTGACATAAGATAAATTATTCAAATTTGGAATGAAGGTTTTAAGAAAAGGGTGGAATTCCTTATTTAACATGGATTATAGGAGACTTTGAGATTTCATCAAAAACATAATACCTCATAATGGCAATGAAATTTTATATGGTGAATTCAAACAACTACATTAGAACTAAAATGAGTAGAAAATTACATAATGAATGTTATTTGCATAATAAAAAACATATGATATGGGAATAGAATGAATCCACTAAGAAAAATGTTTGAGAGGTTAATTTAAAAAATAATGAATGTTAACTGCAATTAAGCTCCCTCCACCTTGCTTGTGTTCAACCAAGACAAGTTAGTGAATGCATTGATGTCTTTAAGATAATCTCCTATAAATTAACAAACCCTAACAGCTCTCACCAAATAGTCCCTTTAAGAAAGAAAAAGATACGTTCATAAGTTGATTCACACTTTACAACAGAAAAAATAATAATAATCCCTCCTTTTGGATAAAAAAACCTCATCTGTAAGGCAAGCCAGGTCCAACACTGTATCAGAATAAGTGTCAGGAACCCAAATAACTTAATTAGTGGCTAATAGCCTAGAGGGTTGTCATCTTGTCCCTTCAAGTAACTTCTTATGCTGCCTCTTCAAGTCCACTTGGCAATTCCTTTGTGTGGCCTTGAAAGTATTTTCTCAAGTGACTTAGCCAAAAGGATCTAAGTCTTATTATTAACCCATATGTATGAGTTTACCCATAAAAGTCAGCTCAAGCTTAACTATAACTTTCAGTCCCGATTGATTTCCAAGTGCTTGGGTTGCCTCCTGAATCAATAACAATTTAAAGATGATAATTATTAATAGACTTCACAAAATAAATCACTTGATACATTGAAGCAAAACAATAGATGCTTATAGCATTATTGAGTTATTCTCTGATGAAATTGGGTAAATTTCATGGACTTCCCTGAAAGATGGTGTGAAATGTGAAGAAAATTTGCTAACAATTTAAAAAACTACATATAAATAGTTTGGTATCATAACGAAGGTTTTAATAGCCTTTTTGTCTAATGACATTACAAAGCTAACGTTGTTAATAATCCTTTGTGTGATCAACTTAGGTGCATAGGGAGAAACTAGGAACTTACAACATCATCATACCAAAATTTGCATTTGGTTACTAGAGCAATATCATTTTGCAGGCTAAATTTCAATTGTCTAACAAGAGTTGTATCTATCATCCTGCAAAACATTATTTTTAAAGAATTTTCTTGGTTATAAACAAGTAACCCTACTGAAAATTTTCACTTCCTCCTATTTTCCATATTTCAAGTAATAAATTCCTTTGCAAAATGCATCCAGAACTTACATGCAAAGATCTTAGTAAAGATTTCTGAAACAATAAATCATAGGCTTGTCAGTAGATGCATAGTAAGATTTAAGAGTATAAATTATGATTGTGATGTGGTTCGCACTTCCCCTAATCTAGGCATTAAATCTAAGAGGTGATATATCAATCGCCTATGAACATATTGTAGCGTTACATCATGGGAAATTCAAAGAGATAAATTTCATCAAAATTTTAATGGTTCAATTTCTTCAATAATATTGTCAAATGGTTCAATTTCTTCAATAATACAGTCAAATAATTTTCGATTCAAGTTCGGGTTAAGAATCCTAACCCATTTAATTGCTTTGGTTAAGTTCGGGTTGATCCACCAACCCGAAATTTACTCGAAACCGACACACTAACCTAAAATCAACATGCCAAATTGAAATTGACTCGAAATTCTCCCAAATTTGACTTGTAATCAACACAAATATTTGTTATATCTTATGTTAAATGGTTAATACGTATCAGGTTCGAGTCATTGGGTTGGATGTTGGTCGGTTCGAATTGTAATTTTTGACCCATTTAATATTCAAGTCAGACTCGGGAAAAGCAGTTTTGTGTCAGGTTAATGTTGGGGCAAACCTGAACCCAACCCACAAACCCGATTTGACCCCCTAGTAGTTTATTTAAAACAATTTAATGTGTCTTCTAAATATTCAACTCAAAATGTCAATAAATACTCACTCAGAGGAGTCAACAAATTTTTTTTAAGTCCAAACCATGGAAGCATTTTACATTGGTGAAAAAGTTCAAGTATGATACAAAGCTAATTTATATACCAAAGATGTTAGGCGAGTAGTTTTTCCTCATCAAGAGCTTTAAGTTTACGGAGTTAAATCCTCCTAAATGATGGATCATTGATTTTGGGATTTCATTTAGTATGCAATCAATTCAATCACCTATAATCATAATTTGTGCATCAAATTGCACGAATTGTGGGAAGATCAAAGAGAATGTATTACTATAAATTTTATTAAACCATTTTTTCAATAAAATTGTTAGCGATGATGATTCCTCTATGGAGACCATTGAGACTGATGATTCCCTTAGAATATCAAAGGTCTTATTTGATGATCAACCAAACATCATATGAAAAGATCAAGGTAAAAAAAATCAATTCACTAGATCAAGTTTGAATTACAACAAAGATGAATTTAATTTTTAAAACTTATGTAGAAAAGTTTATATTTGAATTTTAATTCAATTAGGATAAAACTTGTATAAATCATTTCAAAAGTGAAATATATGTATTTGTTATTAAAAATAATGTGTCCCTTTTTTGGTGGAGCTTTTTTTGTAAGAAAATGAATCTTATCATTGTTCTTTTCTATTTATCGTTGTATTTTCCTATTTAAAACCCCTATTTCCTACAAAAAGAAGAAATATAATTTGAAATCAATATTCTCATGAATAAATCTTGTTTTCTTTTCCACTAAAATCTCCAAATTAAAAGCTATTGAATTGAAATTTGTAGCTCTTTTACGAGCCAATAGCCATCTATGTGTTTGTCGACTATGTTGTTATTGCCAACTCTTAAAGCCTAAATTGTAGCCATATGCCAACTACCTTGTTAAAGTTGCCATTGTGATTCATGCCCTCTTTACTTTAGCCAATATTGGCTTGTTGTTGTAGGTTGGCACTTTGCCAAAGATGCTTTCTCATTGGTTATTTTATCGCTCCTACTACTCTGTTGGCTTTTATTGATTGCTTCTATTGCCTTATTGATAGCCACTACATTACATTGAATTTCGTCAGTGTTTTCCTATTTTGTTTTGTTCACAGAAGCAAGACTTTATATAGGGACTTATTTGTTCTCCTATTGACGAAAAATGCAAAAATGGAGAGAAAATTCTATCTACAAAAAATTAAATTTAAGAGAATTTATGGATCACTATCTAAATGCTCTTCTAAAAATTCCTTCAAAGATCCGAAAGCTCAATTCAGACGATCCTAAATATTCATACAAATGAGTATGATCCATATGTGCTTTATTCATCTTTCAAAATAAACATCAAAAAAGCTCTAAATATGGAGGACTCACCACATACCATGATGCGCTCAAGCCCTAACATTTGAGCATAAATGATGTGTAGGAAACAACGCATCTAAGTCATTGATTGTAAAAGGTTTAATTACATCATGAAAGTTGCACTTGGCAATGATTTTGACCCACTGATTCACCAAAATAATTTGTCATAAAGTGGCATGATCATATTGTGTGACTATTATACTCATTCACCCAATTCTAGCTCTTTCCAACCGAAGGAAGATAATGGAATGCAAAATTTGCAATATGTCTTTTCCTAAAGTGTATTAAAGGACTAAATTTTCCAAGCAGGTTCCTTAGAAGTTGTCTTCGCATTTCAATGGATCTATGATTTGTATAATTTAAATGAAGATGTTCTAAGAGATTTTAACTTTATATAGCTTTATTAATTGCACTTTCAGTTTCCTAATAGCTGACCAATAGTTTAATAATAAATCAAGAAATAAAATAAGAGCTTGTAAACTTTAATGACCCAATTATTGAACTTAATGGTTTCTAGGACCTAAAACTTTTACAGTTCGGGGTACCTTGCTAATGAATGTACAAATGCTGAAATTAATTTGAATTGTTCTCTATATTTCTCCCTTTCTTTCCAGTCTTCCTCTTTTTCCACTTTTCCTTTCAATCTTAGTTCCATTTCTATTCTGCATCAACCAAAATTAGGAAGACAAAATCAAGTTTTTATTCCTGCAAAGACAAAATGCACTCTAACAAGAAACTAGTCGGAAGAATGATGTTAGAATCACTGAATTGATGATGATTTTTTTCCGATATCAACACAGAGAAAATGAAAATGCTGATGAGGAAGTAAAGAAAAGAATACATAGCCACAACTCTATACTGAATCTGTAATGTCAATTGGTTTTGCAATCTTCATGGATTTCATGAACTTTCATGTATATCATATGTCAGGTATACATTATTAATAACAGAAAAAATTTTTCTCTCAAGTGATTCAAAGCAGTTCTCTCAATGTAACGCAACATTTTCTCATTTCAGCATGGAGGAAAAGAAAAACAATATTGGTTTATCGATCAAACAATATTTCAATAAGAACTAGCATTGATTACTCCGGCCGTGCTAATAGCAGAATAAACATTGCAAGCATACTTGCATCTTTTTGGGCTTTTACATCTAGGGATAAGTAATGATACCTGCTTAAAAATCCTCGTATCCCACAATCTGACGGTGCCATCAGAAGAACAAGAACACAGAAGATTTGGCGAGGAAGGCACTGTAAAGCTAATCTCATTAATGGTGCTACTGTGACCTTTGCATTCACCTAGAAACTGCTCGGTGGCTGGAGAATACAATTTGATGGTGTTTGACGACAATGAAACAGCCAGAGTAGAAATCTCAGGACTTACAAAACAAACTCCACGTCAGAAACTCATGAAAACTTTCAATCTTTCGCATTGAAGGTTGTATTGGTTGTGGATCAGTGGTATTGGTGTGGCACTCCACGTCAGAACAACTCATGAAAACTTTCAATCTTTCGCATTGAATGTTGTATTGGTTGTGGATCAGTGGTATTGGTGTGGCATTGGGTTAGTATTAGTGGTATTGGGGTGGTATTGCAATGTGCAATACCACCCCAGTACCACCCGGAGATGGGGGTGGTATTCAATACCACCCGAATACCAGTGCACGCAATATTCGCTCCGTAAATAGAGTGATATAGGAAGTTAGGGATGGGCAATGACTACCTCGAAGCTATCTGGAAGACGTAGTCGTCATGGAAATTGGTCTGTATGGTATTCTTGATTGCGACGCGTTTGGAGGAAATTGCGGCATCAGAGAAGCTGGCGGATGATGCGGCGGCGGTTCTCTGAAACAAATCCATCTCCGCCTCAGCTGATGTCTCCATCTCCACGTCGCCCGCCTCCATATTCATCCTGTCCGCCGGCGATGAGGAGACTATACAAACCTAGGGTTTTGGGCCGACGTGAGCTTTCTAAATCAGCCTGTTCTATTTGTGTGCTCAAAATTGATTCATTAAATTAAAATTGAAAAAAATAAATGTAAAGTGTGCGATTCGAATCTGAATCAAATCTATACAAATGAAAACACTAACCACATTGCCACATGAGTTATTATGATTTAAATTTAGACATAAATATATATAATATATTATTATATAAATAATATATGTAATATATTGTTATATAAAAAATTATATAATTTTTTTTAAGTCATTTTGAGCCGAACACGAGCGAACAAACTGTTGTTTGTGTTTAGCTCGTTTACATTTCGAGCTTAAAAATTTGTTTGATTAGCTGAACACGAGCTGAACACGAGTTGTTCACGAACAACGAGCCAAATTGACAGCCCTATATACTTTTGATTTTTAGACTGTGATAATTAAAAAATGGGAGATTTACATACATACCATCCAATTCACATGTCTTATATATCACCCACTTAAATTTTAATTTTAACCTATCATTTTCTTAAAAAATGAATGACCATATGGTATTATACGAGCCTCCAGCCACCCTAATGTGTATAACAATTAGAGCACCACCTCCTTAAAAAAACTGTCATATTCGAACCCTGTTTGAAAATAATTGAACTATGTATAAATTGGAAATTTTAACTTTATATGTCCCGTAAGAACAAAGTTGAACAAATATGCACATTTTTTTTCTTGTTTACAATAAGATGTTTAAAAGCATGTTTAATAAATAATATCGTCAAGGTTAAAATAAATTAAATATATATTAAATTTGATCATTTTATTGTAGAAGGACAACAAGTGAAATATATTATCTTAGGTACATTGACGGAGTAAAAGAAAAATTAGAATAGACGATAGCCATCAAGACTAAACTCAGAGCGACTATTGAGATTCAAATATTAGTGAACGCAGTCATCACGAAGGAGGAATGTCGAGTTTTTTGTGCTAAAAGTTGATTATGTTAAGCAAGACATAATTTATTGTTGGAGCACATAAAGAAATTACTCATTCTGAGTATGACTTTGAGATAGGAGAAGTTTGGATGTAAAATACATTGAATTTGGGTAGCTCGTTTACATTTCGAGCTTAAAAATTTGTTTGATTAGCTGAACACGAGCTGAACACGAGTTGTTCACGAACAACGAGCCACCTAGGGTTTTGGGCCGACGTGAGCTCGATGGTGAGCAGTGTATTCGTATTCCTGTTCTGCTTGATTTAAATATTTGTATTCGTGTTCGGCTTAAAATTAATTCGTTAAATTAAAATTGAGAAAAATAGATATAAAGTGTAGGATTTGAATCTGAATTAAATCCATACAAATAAAGACATTAACCACGTTGCCACATGAGATATTATGATTTAAATTTAGACATAAATATATATAATATATTATTATATAAATAATATATGTAATATATTGTTATATAAAAGTTATATAACTTTTTTTTTCGAGTCATTTCGAGCCGAACACGAGCGAACAAACTGTTGTTCGTGTTCGGCTCGTTTACATTTCGAGCTTAAAAATTTGTTCGTTTTTTTTCTTGTTTACAATAAGATGTTTAAAAGCATGTTTAATAAATAATATCGTCAAGGTTAAAATAAATTAAATATATATTAAATTTGATCATTTTATTGTAGAAGGACAACAAGTGAAATATATTATCTTAGGTACATTGACGGAGTAAAAGAAAAATTAGAATAGACGATAGCCATCAAGACTAAACTCAGAGCGACTATTGAGATTCAAATATTAGTGAACGCAGTCATCACGAAGGAGGAATGTCGAGTTTTTTGTGCTAAAAGTTGATTATGTTAAGCAAGACATAATTTATTGTTGGAGCACATAAAGAAATTACTCATTCTGAGTATGACTTTGAGATAGGAGAAGTTTGGATGTAAAATACATTGAATTTGGGTGAAATGTATGTAAATGAACCCTAAATTAGTCATTTGAATATTGATTTAAATTTTAATTTTAGCTCGGATGGAGATCGAATTGAAATAAATAGAGTCGAGCTGTGAGTCAAAATTTTTGATCGAATTTGTTTGAAACCGATTTCGAGCCATACATGAATTGGCTCCAACTGAATCGAGATCTGCTTTTTCATTTATAAAAATTATGTATAAAGTTAAATAAAATCAAATATAACAAGCTGTGAGTCGGTTTCGAGCTGAAATGGATCCAAATAATTCAATTTCAGCAATCTTATTTCAATTTCAAGTCGGATCGCGCCGATTTCGATTTGAATTCATTCAAGCCGTTTTCGAGTCTCATAGTTAATCAAAATAAATGAATATCAAAGTTCATGTAAAACACCAAACTTTCATAGAAATTGCTCATAAAAACATTACACAATAAAAGTTTAACAAAATGGTCCATAACATCTTATTGTCTGCCAAAACTCACTCCAGCAAACAAAAGAATTTCCATAAGGAACTCAGCTATCCTGTATGATAATCTCCTCAGCTGTTATCTCAAAATTGTAAATACAAAAAATATATATGAAACTAAATGCAAATCAAACCATTTTGATACAAATAAATCATAGGAACATGAAAATCATGATCATATAAACTAAGAATTAAGGAAGATTCTGAACACAGATGAGTAAAATAAGGATGATATCAACCTCAGAAATGGCTGAAAATAACCAACTAATTTGGAGAATCATCGGTGGCTCGGGCTTTGCCTCTCAGCATCTCGCTAAACCCGCCCCGCATGATTCGTCGAAACCTCGTATCGTCCTGCTGTGACTGCGAGCTCGGCTGCTGTGGCAGCGAAGAAGGATCAGCAGAGTCTGCCGAGTCTTTCTTCGCCCGGAGACCGGTTTCGCCGAAGAAACTGGTCATGGAAGAAGCAATTCCAAGATGAGCGCTCATGGCCTTGCTAATGCTATCAAATGCTCCTCCTGATCTTTCCTTCATTATAATCTCTAATGCTTCCTTGTGCGCTGGATCAAGGTTATCATGCTCCTTTAGTAGGTTGTGTATGGCTGGTATGAGAAGCTCTCTCACGCTGGTTGATGAAAGATCTGGTGAAAAATGTAAAAGTTATTTTGCATTGACAAGACTTGTGAAATTAACGTGAATTATTTGGTGTTAGATGGAAATTTTGTTCCGAAGGGTTTCGTGAAATATTCAGATAAGCCGCTTATCTGAAAAAGCGGGCCGCAGGATTCGACCCGCGTTTAAAAACCCAACTGCATTTTTGGATAAGTTGCTCAAACGCATTTTCCAAACAGTAATGCGACATTTTCAAAATGCCACCGCAGCGGATAAGCTGCCCCAAACGGACCGCATTGCTCTGCAAGTTGGTTTATCAAGTAACTTATACATTCACACTAAGGACAAAATTAAATATGTTATGGATAATTAGGAATTTTGTTCAAAATGCATTTAGTAAAGTGAAAATCATACATAATTCCAGGCATATTTTGTAAATTGGACTTCCAATTAGCACTAAACAAACTTGCCTTTACATGAACATACGTAGTAAGCTGTATGATAGTAAAACTATTAAAGTATTATTTCAGCAACTAATAAAAATGTTAATGACATGGTTTAAAGGGAACCTGTTGCGTCCAAAGCTCGGATTGCTTCACAAAAAGCATTAGTTCTATCTCGACGGCGAACAACATCATTACCATGAGATGGCATGGATGTTAGTTGGAAGATCTTGGATAAAAGATGTATGAACTTGTTAAAGAAACATGCAAAGGGGTCAAAAAAGAATATTATATGGCTAAATAAGTAGATCTATCCAAAACAAATCAATCTATGCAGAGGATATATTCTCTTAATTTGTCTGTCGTGTGTGGTACTGCTGTAACTAAAGCTCTCACCACAGATATAATAGCCTCATGTGATCCATCTTCCAGAAAGGCATCCATCTGTATTATGATTTTTTCGACAATCTGAAAAATAGGAAATTTGTCAATCTTACATGAAGAAACTATTCTATGAATAAATTTTATTTTAAGAAAAAGCAGTTTAATACCACATCATTTCTGGAATGCTGAGCCACAACACCAAATGCATCTATGCTTGCGTATCTAACATTTAAATTTTGATCAGAACCAAGTGTAACAAGCGCTGGCAAGACATGAGCAGATGCAAGTTTCACATCAATATAAGGTACCTATTTGACATGTTGAGCATACAAGTCACTGATAATGGTCCATATCAACTAAGGTGAATGGTTGATTTAACAAAATAGTAAATAGGTCTTGCTTGTTAGCCATAAAGAATAAATGTGCTTCCCATATTTTCAAAACACCAAATTGGTACGGTTCCAGAAGTATAAAGGCATCAACAACAGAGAGAGAGAGAGAGAGAGAGAGAGAGAGAGAGAGAGGGCACTAAGGATCACTAAATTGAGTCTCCACATTAAAATGAGATTTAAAAAAAAAAAACTGGGTCCCTTCCTGTTATGAAAATATCTAGCTATTCTCAGATGGTTTTCACCAGTCAAGGGCAACAGCCCTTCCAACATGGAGAGAGAGAGAGAGGAGGAAGAGGATTTGGGGGCTGGGGAGGGAGGGAGACGGAGAGTACTACGGATCACCAAATTGGATCCCTACGTTAGAATAAAAAATAAAAAAAATCAAATGGGGTCCGTTTCTATTATGAAAATAATCAGCTAGCTATTCACAGTGGCTTTCACCAGTTAAGGGCAGCAAACCCTGCAACAGAGAGAGAGAGAGAAAGAAAGCAATGGAGATCTACTTCATTTAATATGTTAAATTGGTATATGGAAGATCTACTTCATTTAATATGTTAAATTGGTATATGAGCAGCCTCGTTGTTTCCTTTTTTCACCACAAGGGAGCAAATTAGCTATTTTCAGAAAGAGAAATCTAATCAAAATTTACAAATAATAAAAAATTCAGAATAACATATTCTGCATTTAGAAACATACTAGAACTTTTAACAAATTTGTTGCAGTTGTCTTCAGGCTCTCCTCAGAGCATGCGACTAATTCCCATATTATTTGAAAAACAGTTCCATGATGCTTCTCAAAAGAGCTGCAATCCAGCATTCATCAATCTAATTTAAAGCATAAAATCAAACCAATCTATAACCATGTTTAAAAAATTAAATTATTTATGCACCAACCAAACAAAGCGGACTGCATCAATGACCTCAGCGCTGCAATTAGCAGACCAAGAAACCTCTTTTGTTGTGTTAAGCAGTAGTAGCTTCCGCATATAATCCAAAAGTCTTTCATGATTACTGAAAGCACCCAAAATAGCAGACAACAAGAGAGGAAGGACACAAGCGGTGGCAATTTTCTTTGCCACAGCACTTTTAGGCTGCAAACCTACAAACAAACAGCACAACCCAAATTAGTGGATGATCATAAGAAATAATTGGAAGATTTACATGCATACGACTCAATTCGTAAGTATTTACATATATAATAGCTAAACTTTAATTTTTACATATTCGCCGCATTACCTATGGTCCTGTGCATGAAAAGGTGTATTTCACCTTTTCAAAGTTAAAATGGTGGCATTTTTTATGTTAAATGAATGATTTGGGTGGTATAAATGTAAAAATCAAAGTTTAGGTTTAAGATATGTAAATACATAAGAACTGGGAGGTACGAATGTAAGTGCCCCAAAATAATTCTTCTACACACAGACTTGTAACTTCATACCTTTGACGCTTGGTAGGAACAAAACTGGGAAATACGTCAAATTAGCACTTTCATTGTCCCCAACTGAAATAAGAAAAACAGGGAGCATTATAACAGAAAGATATTCATCTCCAAATAGCTCTGATACCGCCAGTAGGATCTGCACAGGCAGTTTAAACACAAATTTGATCAAAATAGTGAAAATATGACAACTCAAGAACATCGAAAAAAGCTGAAATGAAAATAAGTTGACGTGGCTTGTAATACCTTTGCAATTCGGGTTCTGAGATTGTCTTCCTTGCGAGACAAGAAGCAAGAAAGCTCAATTAAATCAGGAAAACAATCAGTGTACATCCAATCAAACGCACTCCACTGCACATTGCTCCTATAAAGTGACAAAAGAGCCAATAATTAACTTGATGTAATTCAAAAATTAAGCAAGAATCAACACTATTTCTATCCTGCAAAGATCAATAAAATTACTACAATAACAAATCAGTGAAGAACTTACTTGGCATACAATTGAAGCAAGGATGATGAGAAAAAGGAATCGTTTTGTTCGGAGCTGGAGTTAGATTTAGTAGCAACATTTATCGGACAAGTATCAATACATCGCTGATGGATAAACGGAAGCAACTCCATCATCATACGCAACAAGGCATCAATGCTCCATCGTTCATGTTCACCTAGTACACGCAGATGAGAATCCACAGAGCCTTCAACCCCAGAAAGAGGTGGGCACCGCTGCAAAGTTAAGGTGCACCGACAAGATGATCAGAACATTATCATGCCAAAAAAAATTATGAAGCCTTAATAATTAAAAGGGCATTTACATACATACCACCCAATTCGTTTGTATTTACATATCTAACACCTAAATTTTACTTTTTTTCAATTATAACACCCAAATATTTCATATCACGTCGAAAATATCACAATTTTAACTATGAAAAAATGAAATACACTTTTTCATGCATAGGTAGGTGCATATGTAAAAATTGAAGTTTAGGTGTTAGATATGTAAATACATAGGAATTGGGTGGTATGTATGTAAAACTTCCATAATTAAAATAGAAGCGAAAGAACCTTTGCAGCTCCCAACATGTGAGAGAGTAGAACACGTAGAACATGGTCCATCTTGCTTCCCCATTTTATAACAGCAGGAAGGAGTTCTTTAAGCGTAGCATCCACCACCACGCCTGAAGGATCACACACCAATTGAAACAACAGCTCTTCAACCTGTTATATGAAAAAATAAGAACAAAATGATTAGCCTAACATTAACATTCTAAATCAATTTCCTATTATTTTTTATTAGGACTCAAGCCGTCAAGCCATTCCTGAAGCCATATGTTCAGCCTTTTCTATAGCTTACATTGCAGCCATTTCTGTGAAGACAATTTTCGGCTCCATGATTGCCTCTGGGCATTAGTGAGGCTGACCTTAAAATATTTGTCCATATTTGGAAAGAGCATTGCCAGATTATGAACAGCAGCCTCTCGCACGACAATAGCAGAGTCTTCAACTAGCTGATGCACAATTGATAATATAAGTGAATCACGAATCTCAGGCCGTACAAACTCTGCAAGCTCTCCACATGACTGTGCAACCAGTAGTCTCCTCTCTTCATACATGTGATTTATCTGAAGCAAAGGGAAGAAGTAATGAAACCAATTTGCCTCCCAAAATACAGTTATATGCCATATAAATAGTAAAACAAAGAACAGCATTGTAACCACCTGTTCCCAGCATTGGGGCAGCAACTCCGTTTCAGTTCTCATCTGCCCTACATTCTTGGCTAGGCTAACACAAGCCTATCAAATAACAAAAATTTATGATCTGATAAATCTCAAATTAAACTGACAAAAAAAAAAAAAAAATAAAAAATCACAGAGTGACTTACATCCATTATAATTCGCCTCTGCTGCTCATCCGGCCGCTTAATAAGATTAAATAATGTGTGTGTTAAAGAGTCTCTTACATTGCCTTCTGGATGCCGCTCAATTGCACACATAATCAATGGAAGAAGTTCCTGCAAAAATAATCCTCATCAGATGAGACGAGTCTTCTGAAAAGAAGAAATGAATCCAAGGAAAATCTAAGAGAAAAACCTCACGATGGTTGATCAAAACATAAGGAACAATCTTAGGCAGAGAATCTGAAACAATCTGGATTGTCTCCAATGCCTGTAATTAATGATAGAAAGATCCATTACATGGCTTTTTAGGGACACAAACAGCTTAAGGTGCTGAATTTACCATTTTTTCTGTTGTTACCCTCCTTGGACTGTCTGTTTTTTGTATTAAGCAAATAACTTCTCGAGCTGTTGATTCAATGTTTTTTTCTTTCTTTTCTTCATCATTTCCATTGCAGGACACCACCAATCCATATGAAGTCACTATGTTCTGCTCAGATTCATCAGATTCATGCCCAACAATAACGTCTCTACTATTCTTCACATTTGAACCAGGAAAAGATTTTGACATCACGCCTGCTTCATTCATCTCGAGAACCTTTTCCTCTGGTTGGCTATCTTCAACCTGGCTTGCCATGGAATTAGAACCGTCTCTCAAAACATTTGTTAATTGTGTGGTTTCAGTTTCTGTATATTGGAATCCAGTTACTTCTTTTTTGTCAATGTTTAAAGATTTAATTCCTTCGATGTCTCCTGTATGCCATCCCCTACTTGCAAGGGAACCTTCTAAGTGCATCTTCAGAGAAGTTATCTCAGCTCTGCACTCATTTAGTTCCTTCCTCTGAAGTTCCAGTGACTGTTTTAGAACTTGAATCTATAATAAGTAAACATGAGATCCCTTTAGGATGCAAATTCATTAATTTTGTAGCCTGGCAGATATAAAATTGGAGGTGCTAATTACCAGAAGGTCCCTTTCTTTAAGGTCCTTCCGTGAAGCTTCCAAATACTTTGATAAACTGGCTATCCGACCATCAACTTCTTCTTTGTTTTTTACAAAGGAGTCCCTCTCCATTTTGAGGGACATATTTTCCTTCATCAGTGATTCGTTTTCTTGAAGAAGGGATATCTTCTCCTGCAGTTAAAAGGCCATTTTCAATTAATAAAGCTTTGTGACATGAGTGCATATGATTCCATCTTTCTTTCACGACATAGGACAGATGCCTGGACGAGGATAAAACTTTACGTCACAAGGGCATGTAATTGAGTTTTTATAAAATAAAGGTAACTATCAAGGACAATTTATTTCAAGCTGCAGTCAAAGTAGTGGGTAGTTGAACAAAATTTGACCCAAAAGTTTGAACTGATAGAAAAATATTATATTAAGTGAAATTTACTTCTTATTGTTAAAAATATTTATTGCATCAATTCTAATTTTTTTTTAACTGAGGATTTACAGAATATTCACATTTGAAGCTGCAAAAGAAGGATAGAAAAATGCAACAAACTGTTCTTTAACATTCACACTTTATCTTATACAGAAAACAAAACACCATTTGGGTATATGTCATTTCGTTCAAATAGAAAGGGTCACAATTACACTTTTTCCAGTAGTTTCATTATTTAGAGTCTTTTTCATGTTCGTCGCATGAAATAATGCATAAAACAAAAATATTTAGAGGAGCAAAATAATACTAACTATCAGCAAAATTATGCAGGACTGGCTTGCAGTTTCTCTGGTATATTTATTAATATCTGCATTGAATTAAAATAGATCTATATTCTTCATTGTCTAAAGATTAAATATACAGTTGACACCTCCATCACATCCTTTAGCTATATTGCAAGTTTCTTAGGTGCACGTAATTTAGTTGGATAAATATGAGGGATCTCCCATTCAATGAATAATGAATAAAATTGTAAAAAGAATAAATGATTACAGTTATAGTGATTTGATTGTTGAATAAAAAAAATAATTAATGTTAAAATTCTTATATTTAAAACTTATTTTAAAGATGGACTACTTTGCATTTACTAAAAAATAGTTTTAAATTTATTTAAGCAAAGCATGAAATAAGAAGTCAATGTAGGCCAATTATATTTGTTCTAGCTATTGTACTGTATAGTACAAGAATAGTTATTTAATAATAAAAAGACAATTTTATGTCTGTACGTATTTACACACATACGTACACACACACACACATACATACATACATACATATACATACATGCATGCATAGATATGTGTGTGCGTGTGTGTGTGGATATGTATACTTATTAATTCAATATTGAATTAATAAGTGGTCAACTATTGACTTCAAACTCAAACATTTAAAGCCAATGACGACCAATGACTAACGTAAGAAAAAGTAATCTCTTCGTCCATCTTTTCTGTTCTTTAGCTCAATCATGAATTTTAGCGAGAAAATTTAACACTGATAAGAAATAGCAATAAACAAAGCAGCAAAGATGTGAAAAAAAGTAAATCCAAATTTGGCACATGCAAAGCAAAAATTAAAATAATGAAGATTTACATACATATCGCTCAATTCCTATGTGTTTACATATCTAGCAACCAAAATTTAATTTTTACATATATGTCACCTTGTCCATGCATGAAAAGATGTATTTCACTTTTAAAAGTTAAAATACGGTATTTTAGATATGATATGAAAATTTGGGTAGTATAAATGTAAAAAACAAAGTTTAGTTGTTAGATGTGTAAATACATAAGAATTGGGTGGCATGTACGTAAATGCCCCAAAAACTTATTGATTATCAAGCATGATACACAAATAAAGACCGTAGAAGTGCACAAAGATCTAGACGTGAAAACATAAACAAAGAGAGGAAAATACTTTCTTCATACATTGATGCTTTACAAGGTACATCTACATATAAGAATACCACCTCTTAAATAAAAAAATTACCTAATTGCTTATATCTTAAATAAGGAATTACCTAATTGCATACAACTATTTTCTATTATATTATATAGCTAATTATGCAAGATTTGTACAGTTACACACTAATCTATAAAAGGAAAAAATATTAATGTTGTAAATCAAATTAGATTTTCAACACTCCCACTCAAGTTAGCATGAAAATATCCTTTAGAACCAACTTGCACACTAAACTGTCTATCCTTTGTCAATTTTTTCTTTGATGAAGTGTTTGTCGAACTGTATCTTGTGAAGACTTTTCGTTAAAATATCTGCTGCTTGGTTGTGGGAAGGAACGTACAGCATGCAAATATCTCCTTTGTCAATTTTTTCTTTGATGAAGTGCTTGTCTATCATTTGTTCGATCATGAAGGACAGGATTGTGGGCGATGGTGATTGCAGACTTATTTATCACAGTACACCTTCATTGGTAGTGGACTATGAATTTTTAACTCCTTAAGAATTCTTCTAATCCATAGAACTTCACATATCCCGTGAGCCACAGGTCTGAATTCAGCTTCAGCACTGCTTCTTGCCACGACACCTTGCTTCTTACTCCAGGTTACTAAGTTTCCTCCTAAAAACGTACAGTACCCTGAGGTTGACCTTCTATCTGTAATACTCTCAGCCCAATCTGCGTCTGTAAATGTTTCTATCTATAGGTGCACATTTTTTCTTAAACAGTAGTCCTCTTCCAGGCGTTCATTTCAGATACCTAAGGATCCGATACACAACCTCCAAGTGATGAGCGTTTAGACACTGCATAAACTGACTTACAATACTAACAGTGAAAGTTATATCAGGACGAGTGTGTGAAAGATAAATTAGTCTTCCCACCAATCTCTGATATTGTTCTTTATTAACACCATCTATTTCATTTGTCATTTGTAACTTTTAAATTGGTTCAATAGGGGTTTCAACTACTTTGAACCTAAGCATTCCGGTTTCACTAAGCAAGTCGAGTACATATTTCCGCTAATTAATAAAAACCTCCTCTTTTGATCTGGAAAATTCAATACCGAGGAAGTACTTTACCGGCCCCAAATTTCTAATCTCGAATTATGTGGTCAATCTTTCTTTCAACGTCTCAATTTCCCTAACATCATCTCCTGAAAGAATAATATCATCGACATAAACAATAAGTATGACAAGTTTACCAGTTTTTAAATGTTTGTATAACATAGTATGATCAGCTTGACTCTGAGTATATTCATACTTTTAATCACCTTTCCAAACTTCTCAAACCAGCGCGAGGAGATTGTTGAGCCCGTACAAGGATTTCTTCAATTTGCACACCTTTTCTTCTCCAAACTTCTTCTCGAATCCTGGTGGAAGATCCATGAATACCTCCTCCTCTAATTCACCATTTAGAAAGGCGTTTTAACGTCGAGTTGATATAAGGACCAATCATGGTTTGCTGCTATGAACAGTAGAGCACGAATAGAATTTATCTTGGCTACCGGAGCAAATATTTCCTGATAGTCAATTCCTTGAGACTGAGTGAATCATTTTGCTACTAGTCGTACTTTATATCTTTTGACACTCCCATCAGCTTTGACTTTAACAGTGAAGACCCCATTTACACCCAACAGTAGATTTGTCTCTTGGCAAAGTGATAACTTTCTGGGTTCTATTTTTTAATAGAGCATGTATCTCTTCCTTTACTGTTATTCTAAAATTCGGATTACTAAAGATTTTTGACAAAAAAACTTGATGTTTATGTGAGATTATTTTGTAGGATAGATATTTTGTAATGGGATGTTTAGTAGTACAAGAACGTATTCTTTTTCTAAAGGCTATAGAAAGATCCAGATTTATAACCTCTGAATCTTGAGCTTCTGTTGATAAAAAAAATAAGGTCAGGATTGAAAATTATCTATGTTTCTTGAGGACCATCATTCAGTTTTTCAGATTGGGAGTAAACTAAAGATTCAATTTGAACATTTTTTCTTTTATAGAGTCTTTTCCTAAATAAACTAGAGGTTCTGTTGTCTTATTCTGCAGTATTTCTCCCCCTGTGTTAGACAAGATAATTTTTGGTGTCTTTTGACTATGATTCTCCTGGTTTTTATTACTTTCAACAATTATTTCCGATTCATTTTTATTAAAAATTTCAGGTGTATTTGGTGTTAGAACAATTCTTGGTAGTTGATCGGAATTGTGCCAAAAATCATCTTCTTCATCTGTATTATACTCCCCTAAAGTGGATTTTGTGAAAGAAAGTGAATTTTGTCTATGAAGATCACATCCATACTAATGTAAGTTTTTTTTTGTGACAGGGTTAAAACATTTGTAACACCTTTTGTTTGAAGCATATCCAAGAAAAATACATTTTTTAGATTTTGGATCCAATTTTAATCGAAATTTATTTGGAATATGAACAAAACATGTGCATCCACAAATTTTTATAGGAATATTTGAAGACATTCGTAGAATTGAAAAATTGTTTGTCAGCTTGTTTAGAGAAGTTGTAAATTGTAAAACTCGAGTGAACATTCGATTTATCAAATATGATGTTAAAACGGAGTCCCCCCATAAATATTTAGGAACTTTCATCGAAAAGGTCATAGCCCAAACAACCTCAAGTAAATGTATATTTTTTCTTTCAGCAATTTCATTTTGTTATGGAGTGTCACGACATGTGAATTGATGAATTATGTCTTTGTTTATTAAAAACTCTCCTAAACATTCATTAAAGTATTCAGTTCCACTGTTTGTTTTAAGGATGCATATTTTTGTTTCAAATTGAGTTTTAATCATGTTGTAAAAATCTTGAAAGAGTTTTTCAACTTCTGATTTCTTGGTTATAAGATAAACCCAATATATTCTGGTGTTATAATCAATAAAGCCACAAAACCCCTTTTTTCCAGATAATGTTTTGATTTTTTAAGGTCCTTAAACATCACTATGGATCATGAAAAAAGGTTTTGAAAGATAGTATGGTTTGGAGCAAATTTTATGCGATAACTTTTTGTCAAATAATACGTTTCACATTGAAGTAAGGTACAATTAACATCCTTAAACATATGAGGAAATAGATGTCTTAAATAAAGAAAACTTGGATGGTCTAGTCTAAGATGTCATTCTATTATTTTTTTCTAATGCATGGTTCGAACTAATACTAACGTAAGCTTGAACAATTTTATTACTAGGAATAGTGTCCGCAAAGTAGTAAAGTCTTGCTATCTCT